AGCAGGAGTTTCCACACGTTCTGCTTGCTAGGCAATTCAATAAAGAAGCAAATTCCAGCCTGCAACCCTGAAAAGAGAGTTTTCTTTTGTTGAATTGGATGGTCCTTTTTATTAAAACAGTCCCTAAAGTTCATGTATAAAGATCTGAGACACTGGGATTCGCTGACCTGGCTTGAGATCATCTAGGCCTTGAACGTTGGCAAATCTCTGACTGTAACATCAGATACGTACAAATGCTAGCAGATTGTGGTAAATTACTATTTTGAGGTCACAGGAGGGAGAATTAAGAGTTTAAATGGAAAAACGTTAGTGGAAGTGACGTGAACTTACAGGTCTGCAATTGATCATATTTAATAAATGTTGCTCACATATTTCTTGATCTGGAGCCAGTGGTTAATATAAGCATGAAGAAATGCAAGCTCCTCCACCCTCCATATGCTGCTTCTGAGTCATAAACAAAGCCTGACAAAGAGCGGAAATGGACAAGGTCAATATTTAGTACTCTATTACAAACTAAGCATAGGGAGTAGGCAGGAGAGCGCAAATTTCTTGGGGCAGTGCAAGGTAAATCAGCTTGCGGAGGGGCTCCCTACTGCAATGGTTAGACTGCTTCCTGTAGCTCAGGTATGATCTGCTGCTCTTTTTCTTCAGTAAAATTATTATTATGTAAAATAAATGAAACTATAAAGATGACTGCTAAACACACAATATCCAGGAGGCTCCAGTGTTTTTCCCTTTGAACTCTAATATTTATGAGAGACTGATTTAAGACAGAAAATTCACATATAGAGAGAAAGTCATAAGGATGTAGACCAATTTTATATGCTTCATATGCTCTACTTTGAGAGTCTACAACCACAGTAGTAATATCATTATTAACATCAGGAAATAAGCTCACATTGCGAGTGAGATAGGGAAAGTCACTGGAAGCTGGTGGGACAAAGCAGAAAGAGAAACTGGCTTTGCCAGCAAAGCCAATGTGCTGTAGACCTGCATAGCAATGCTCCAATTCTGCAGCCTTTCTTTTGTAGCAGCAGAGTCAATTTTGGCAACTCTTTCCTCTCACTCTCCTCTTCCTGTGCCATCTTGCGGCCGAGCCAGTCTGCAGAACCATGCAGAAATCCACGAGAAGAAATTAATCTTACACAAATACAGCTATGCAAAAATATTTACAAAAATAATCTTTCACAAACAAAAATGAAAAGGGTTATTTTAAGCCAGAGCAGATCAGTGATCTCATTTGCCATGTCATATGACAGTGATATCAGCAGTACCGTGGGACATCATGGGGAGCTGGAGGCAGAAGGAGAAGCAATGGAAGGAGCAGGGAAAGCTGGCTACAATCACTTGGGCTCTCAGTAAAACTAGTACTTGTTTCCTTTTGATAAACCAAGGCCCATGAACGCCACTGAAAGCAGAGCTGGGGCTGCTGTGAAGATCTGATGTTTAGTACTTCTTAGGAATCACTCCAGCCCTTGAAAGATGAAGCCTCAAAGCTCTTACTTTAAGAGATGTTGGTAAGTGATGGTTCCTCACATCAGCGGAGACTATTTAAATGCCAGTCAATTCACTGGCCAGACTACTCCTTTGCTCAAAGTAAAGCATCTAAGTACATACCTTGCCAAGTCAGATCCCAGTCACAGTTGCATGTGTAGACTGATACTGCATTTACTCCAGTACAGAAAAAATTAAGACAGGAGAAAGACCTAGACGAGTTTCTTCCGGTGTGTTAGGTCAGCACCGGAACTGACCACATCTGAGTGATACAATTTGCCAGGCTGGCATTATTAGCAATTTTGTAGCCTGCTGTAGGAACAACTTCACCAACAGCAAGCACAGTATTTAAATACTGAGTGTTAACCTTTTTTTTAGCTACTCAAGCAGAATGACTTGACTAGACTTCCTTCTGATGAGGCCAAGAATTGTATAATTCCTTTTTTAGCAAGAAGCCTACTTAAACCAAGCCTGGAAAAAAAAAGTTGCAGGTTTATTCTAATCTTCAAAACGCCTTCTCCTTCTTACTAGCTAGAATTCAGACTGCAGAGGCTCTCATGTTAATGTAAAGAGGTCTGCTGATATGTAAAGGCTAACACTTGAGAGGTCTTGACTTTATTTCGTACTGGAATAAAGTCACCAACAGATTCACTCTAATTAAGAAGTCACATTAAATACTGCCTCATAACTCTATGTATAACTTCATTCTAAATTATATACCGCCACTTGTGGTTTAACAAGAATTTTTTTGCCATAGAAAATCAAAGGACAGGGTACAGCAGCTCACACAGAGAGTCTTGGCCACCCAAAAGTGCCTACATATCACTCAAAAAATTAATAGAGAAAGTCTAACAAAGCAAGAAGTTGCTTAGCAGTCAAATCATGGTGCATCACTTGAAGGTCATGAAGCAGAATTTAGAGCTGCACCGTTAAAAACCAGCCCTTAACAAAAGCAGTTACTGAGAGAAAACCTTTTCTTCCACTATACTTCAGAGATGGACATGATTGCCATGGGGAAATTCCAAGCTGCAAAATCGCCCGTGGTGGTTTTGGCCTCAGCCACATCCTGCTCCAAGATATAGGGCAGGAGCTGAGTACTCTTGCAGAGGGGAAGCCAGGAGACAGCTGGGGAACATGCTGCCTTTTTTAACGGTGAAGAGGATAAACAAAAGTGA